AGGTGGACAGTGGAACCTTGGATTTCGGTATCATATGGGACTCTCAGAAGAAGCTCACGGTTTATACTGTTGAAAACATTGCTATAGTCTAGATAACATACTCGCACGGATTTGATCTTATTGTCCAGTGACGTCAGCATTAAATGCACGAGATGGGCTAATGCGTCTTCAATAGACCTCAGTCTACAATAAGTACACTGAAGCGGATTGTCTATGAGTTTAAAATCATCATCCTTTCAAGTCGAAGCTTTTCGAAAACCTTCAGGTTTACTGAGGTGCAACTAATTGGCCGGTATGTATCTGGGTCTTTATTTGGGCACCAGTGTAATTCTAGCATTTCGCCAACGGTCGGCAATGTTCGATTACTGTATGCGCGCCGTGTACAGGTCAGCAAGAAGCTGGGCAAACGAATCGGCACCCACCTTGAGGACCCGGGGCCACTTGCTTTGTTGGAATTCAGCGTCAACAGGTGGTTGAGTACTGTAGTTTTGTCAATGACAAATGTGGTGATCATGAGACCGTCCACTCCGGGGAAGGAAGGGTAAGAAATGTAGTTAGCGCTGAAACAATAAACTTTTTGGCTCAAATTTTCAAACTCCACGTCTGTATTTGACTCTCGTTGAGAGACATAACGAAATTGTTTAACAATCCGCCAGATCTCTCAGCAGCTATTATGTGCAAGAATAGTCTGGACATACATAAATAAAAAGAGACTTAACTGCAACGTGGTCTTTCTGTAGGAACGCTTTCTCTTTGTGCCTACGCCGGTGTTTTAGACCCAGAGATGAAAACCAATCTGTATGGCTATAAATCGTTTCCAATCCGCATTGAGGTCCACTACTAGTCAAGACAATAAGTGTACCCAACCAGACGTGTTCATTGTCATTCGGGCCCCAACCATGGAACCGAGGGGCTCCGAGCGAGTCCAACTTCGAAGTGAGGGTTTTCATTCCTTTTGGCTTCCTCTCTACTGCATCCACTCCCCCTGCACGCAAAACAACCCACGGCGAGGGAGTCGGCGTTCTGGCATGCGCAACCCGTAGCTAAGCCATCGGAGCTTAGTGAGGGGTTTAGCAATGCTGAGCGTTTCAATTCCAGTTCTCGTGGTATAGATAAGGCGCCGTACACATTGCTAATACGGTGTTTCCACCAGATGTGAGTCAAAGTACAAATGCACCAGTGATCGAACGCCAGTAAACGCTTTATGTCTGCCGATGTAATGAGCCAGTTATCATAACAGTACAGTTGGGTCGAACGGCAAGTAGCAATGTTATCGATGTATCCGGCTTGCTTTTCCCGAATCTGGATTTCACGGGTTTCAGTTAATCTCTGAATGATAACGAAGACAAGTAACTTGGATGTGCTGCAGATCTGACTGATTGGTCTATGGTTGCCGCATTCCGATCGTGAGCATTCCTTCAACATCGGGGCAACATCGGAGCAGTAGAGAATCACAGCCGATTGAGACGCCATCGGTTTCCATATACATTCACCACAATCTGCGTACAGATATTTTGTCATCGGAACCATGGCGGAATAGGAAAACGGGGTTGGAGGAAAGGAAGAAGGAAAACAAACAATTTTTTGTCAATTTTTCTGCTCACATTTTTTGATTTTTGATGTCTTTTATTAGGGAAGGGAAGGAGAATCACCGCAATAAGTTGAGATACACGCCCCCACTGAGTTCAGTTTCGAGCCATGACTTCCAACGTTTCCAACCAACTACATGCAGCATCCTTGGGACCCCATCCAGGGAGTCGGGAGGAACCAACCGTGCCCAGCTGTTTCGTCAAATCTTTCATCCTGCTTCTCCAGGTTGTAGGCTGCCCACCCCACCGCTTCTTCTAACCCAGTCCAGCAACCTGGAACAAGACACAATGCGGAGGACGCTGCGCGGGCATACGCAATATGTGTCCGAGCCATCGTAGTTGGCGCAGCGAGACAAGCGCCTTGAGGGAGTGGCTGCATCCAGCAGGGGGAATAAGGGTTTGGATGCTACTGCTCAAGCCTTCCCATCTCCTTATTCCCCCTCTTACCGTCCCGTTCCAGCTTCACTTTTAGCCCCCCAGTTTTCAACCCCCGATTCTTAGTCCTCCTTCACCTTGATTTGATAAGCGGTTATCTTTTGGTTTCAACTCACATGCAAACGCTGAGCGTCACGCTTGCCCTACTGACAAGCCCATGTCTAAGCAAGCCGTCAATCTCAGTTCATCCGCTTTCATTTGGTGCCCTCTATCCTTCTTCAGATTGGTATACCTCAACGTACGCACATTGCTACAGATCGATGAACAGGCAGCACTTGCCCGAACATTAGAGACCCTCTCGATCGAAGTTTGCTGCTTATCGGAGACCCGCCTGCAAGACTTGAGTTCTGTGCTCACTTTGCGATATTCTTCAGGTGACACTAGTAGCACTATCTCACTGCGCCTACCCGGTGACTATGTAGATTTGAGCACCGGTCAAGCCGGTGTTGGTATTGCCCTGAGTCCCCGGGCTGAAGCTGCTCTGGCTGATTGGATTCTAATCAGTAGCCGGATGTGTGCGGTCCTATTGGCTGACTCTCTCAAAGCTTCGAAGTCGCGCTGGTTTAACGGGTGTCTATTCGTCATCGCTGCCTATGCGCCCACACAATCTAGCGATGATTCGGTGAAAGACAACTTCTATCGTCAACTAAACGAGCTTCTTCCTCACAAAAGAAGCTCGGATATTGTTGTACTGGCTGGGATCTGAACGCGCAAGTTGGAAACTTATTCACTGATTAACTGCATCTGGGCGGCCAACATTGTGTAGGCTCCCGTAATGATAATGAACAGCGGTTACTTCCTTTATGTGAAAATGCTCGCTTATTTCTTGCCAACACAAATTCCGACACAGCACCCTCTTAAATGTGACTTGGTGACCACCAACCTCGTACCAGCCATGGATGTAAATCGATCACATTGAGATAAGTTACCGATGGAGAGGCTGCATCCAGAACTGTTGCTCGATTTGAAAGACGTGTGGACACCGACCATGCATTTGTGTGCGCTGACATGCGGATGCAATTTAGCAGACGCCCACGACGGCGCTGTGCGCGCATTAACACCAGCCAACTGACGAAACCAGCTGTTCTGAATGTCTAACAATGTACGCTAAACTGTGAGTTGGATAAAAGCTCAATGGATGCAATTGAAGCTCACTGGTCTCATACTCACCAGACCTTACTAGTAGCAGGAAAATCCTCATGTGGTATATCTAATCGCCAACATGGACATTGGCTCTCTTTGCAGTCTCTGGAATTTATCGCTGCTCGCCGGCATATTCGAGCTGGGAGCGAGAACAATGAAATCCTTAAAGAGCTCCGGGCAAACCTCCGTGCTAGCCTGAAAAGAGACCGCGAATCCTGGTGGTCTCATCGTGCATCAGAGATGGAAATGGCCGCTGCCGTTGGTAACCATGGCAACCTATTCCGTCTGTTACAGAGAACGGTCAGCAGGGACCTGATGTTAGTGAAACAATACATGACGAGAGTGGACAGCTTATCTACAACTTGTCAGAATCCTTGGAACTTTGGGTTGAGCACTTTGTAAGGCAATGTAATCGGTCGGAATTGTCAGATTCCCCGCCAGAAACCGATCGCCAATTGGTTGTGCGGGCTTGCAAAACCACTCTCGCTCACACGTGTGGCCGTTGCTGTTCGAGTGGCAGCGATCGATCAGCTTTCATACGGTCGGCTCATTTTCGTTCTGCTCGCCAGCACCACAAATGGGGCCGAGAAAACGGAACACTTGGTGACATTACGATTCAGCTTGAAACGTTTTCAAGCAAGTATGTAGCGTTCGCTTTTTAGAGCAACCCTTAGCTCGTTTTAGCAAATCAGGTCTGTGCGGTGTACCTCTGACCCCGTATAGGTCCGAACCCACAACCTTATTTTTTGCTAGTCCATGCTTGACTATACTAGGATATGCAGGAGGACATCAGTAAAAATCTTGTGTTGCCATAAATTAATGGACGGCTTAAGTTGGAATAGTTCGTCGCATGGTGAGCTTGCTACCCTGTCCTCTGCGTTGTAGCAGCGTGCAATTTATTGGAGATTGAGCGACGCTTTGTCGCTCGTTATCGTGCCTTATCGCAGTGGTCTTAACCACGTATTGGTAAGGGTCAGGTTGCGGGTCTTGGACATACAGGGGTCAGGTGGAAAGCGTGCTGGTGACGATTCCGGAAAGGAGTAAACGGTCGTACAGTGCTTCGGTGTTGCTCCTGCCAATACTGACACTGGTGCAGTGCCTATTCGGGCGTGTGCTGGCCGTCTGACGGAGTCTAATTGTGCCAACCTTTAGTTATAAGATTCCAAGGTATACTAGTCTGATTTTTAACTATTGGACAGGGTTGTGCAACAACAGTTTATCAACACTCCCCCTGAAGGAGCGAATCAACTCAGCCTTATCCGATCGAAAGTACACGCAGGTTGTTCTGGCCAATTGCGCAAATTTTACGCACTTGAATGGAACTCAGTCTGGGATGCATTGCGGATCTAATGAAACTCAGCTCGAGATGCGAAAACATTTGTCATGCATTGCTTTGTACTACACACTTTATTTCTTTGCATCATCAAAATGTGTAGTTGCTTTAATACATATATACTCTTATTGCGGCTTGTCTTGTTTATATCACTGTCCGTATAGTCAGAAATGGTTGGGGTGGGCGATTACAACGGCATTGAAAAAGCTACTATTTTAATCTTCTAATGGAACACGACGGTGTCTCAGGCTTTAGACATTGCTCACTCTGCAACATTCGTAGTCTGTTCGCACACGACAGTTTTTCCAACGTACATCCGAAGCTTCATTTCCTACCACGTTCTGTTACGATTTTTATTCTGATCTTGCCCAAAGGCGTGCCTGGCTTTGTCAGGAATAAGAAATTTATTTGTTTATTCACTTTATACTGGGTTAGGAAGTAGTTACCTTAGTTATGTAAGTTTGAACAGCCAAGTTTCAAGGCTAATACATTTGTTTTACCTTCTGGACACTGTGTGGTGCAACGTCCCTGATGTACGGCGTGAGCGCATCGTGTGCATTGATGTGGGCCCGGGCCGGTACACGTCACGTCGGTAGCGGGAGGCAGTCTGGCACATTCTTTGTGACATGGCAGACAAATTCGAGCCAGACCATACACCAGCGGTTGAGTGTGATTGACCAACCAGTCGACCAGATCCAGTTGAATGGCAGATGGTAATTGGTTGAACAGTGCCGCGTCACTTGCCGTCCAGGCGGGGAAGGTAGCTTGACCTGTGAGTCGATGAAATGACTTCCAGTGCTGGAAATGACTAGATCCTCCACGATAGAGCAAATTAATGACATGCGCAAACATTCCACTTGGACAGTCCTGGAGCAAATGAAAGTATGGACAACGCATCAAAGCTGTATCAACTCGAAAAGTTGACATATACATGCGGTGGCCTCTTTGGTTATCTGTCGCAATTGTCTTACATGCCCGCTGAAAAGTACTTGTGCCCTATTACATACGGTAAAGGTTAAGTGACAAGTTCTCCGAAAATCTGGAAAGCTTTTATTGTAGACTGTCTTAATGTTTGCATCTAACCGTCGGCACTAATAAAGTTCCAAATGTCAGTCATAGTGTACGCTAAGGTAAATTGTTTGCTTTTCTGTTCTGTCCATAATCACACTGAAAGCAAAAGGCACTGCTGCTGCATGACAGCTTATATACCAAAATTCGTTGGATATTTATACATTTTCGCTATGTAAAGTCCTTTTTGGGAACTACAAGACTGGCGTACTTATCGGATGTAGTTGGTGGTTGTCTTCAAGAGGAAGGCTATTGAAATTGCGCTTCCCACGGTAACCGCCTTTCCAACACACGGTGTTTAACTTAGCATTCCCCATATGTCCACCTTCAATAACTGCATTAATCTTACAGTTGTAATCCGACTGGAGCATTTGTTGCAACGTGGTCTCCCCTAACGACGCCAAGTTATCTCACAGAATGCACCGAGTGAGTATAAGCATGCTGTAAAAGGACTCGTTAAAACCCAGTCCTCTCGTTTCGAATTGTGGTGACTTACTAACTAATCTGGTGGCTACTAAAAACTAGGAATATTTTTAAACGTTGGATTGGCAAGGAAGATTTTTGATAATATTTTGCTGAAGGAAACAGTGGGAGTGCAACTCTGACGAGCTCCAATATGGCAAAATGACCGGCTGGTGCTATTTCCGGTTGGTACTTGGATAACTGGCTTATGAGGTGTCAGGACTTATGAGAAAAGTAACCGTTAGGTTCCTGAAGTACCCGGTATCTGGCTTCTAACTGCTGTGAAAGTTGTCACTTGCGAAGCGCGATAATATGGTGGAAAAGGCAACTAGCAGTAATCGCCGAACAAGTTTGCTTCCCAGCCTACCTGTTTCTATGCAAGTAGCGCCGTTCGCGAAGTGTAATATTTAAGAGCAATACAAGCAGACATTTATGAATAAATAAATAGTATATTTTCGAGAACGCAGGGCACATCTGAATTGGCGTCACCATTTGGTTTCCTGTGGATGTCATTTGAGGGGTTTACTACGTAGTCACTTACGGGATTTTAAAGGCTTTAAACTTTGTGTGCCAAAGCTGGGGTTAGCACAAAATTCAGGGATTGTTTCTATGCCGGCCAGGCAGATTACGGTAGATGCGCTGGTGACTTAATTCAGAGTATGACTCACTTGAACACATTCAATGCGTTGTGTTCCTTGCGCTGGACTGGAATCCACATGCGCAAGTGCTTGTCTGCAAAAGCTGCAGCCTCCGTGCCCAGGCCATGTGCCCGGACCGGTACACCATTCTTGCTCAGCATTTCTGACGGAGATAATTCCTAAACCTTCATTGGAGGATTGTCCGATTGTCGACACCGTCAACGGAGCGGTGCATGTGGATGCACAATCCAAACACAGCCCACTAACCGGATCCAGGTACTTCTCCGGTGGACATGTTTTTCTGCAGTACGGTCCATCCTGAAAATCGAATACCGCATCATACAAGTTATCATCCCTGTTCAGGCGTGTCTGATGCAAATCGAGATTTGATTTTCTCTGTATGGAGTGGCATTTTTAGACACCTGAGAAAGCATCAGAATGAAAACCAACACGTTGAAATGCTATGGAGAGCATTCGGGCGGTTTGATCCCTCTGTTTGTTCGCAGTTGCTTAACACATACGTGCGGCCTCATGTGGAATGCGCAATCGAGGCATGGCAACCATGGCACAAACATGATCTCACAACACACGAGACTCCACAGCGAAGAGCCACAACGTATGTCAAAGGATTGTTCCATCTTCCATATCAACTGTGGCTTAGGGCTCCATGATTGTACAACGGCCGACATCAGCGCCTATGTGGTAACATGGCCTGCCATGTTTTGAGGAACACAAACCACGTCTGACTCCACGTACTGCAACTCAGTCACAGCAGGAATTTGAGGGGACACCAACTCAATTTGGCTACGATACACATTTGGCTAGAAGGTCGGCGAAACGTTTACCCTCTTCGTGTGTGCGAACCATGGAACGCCCTCTTGAATTATGTAGATTCCGCTCCCATGTTATCTGCATTTAAAATGCTCCTTGACGCTGCCTTAACACACCTACACTTCGATATAGTCTGTGTAGACCGACAGACGATATAATGTGACGAGTGATGCACAATCTGCAGTAACCTACACAATTTAGATTCGCTCCTTTCTGAATTCCATATATTACCTCACTAATCGGTATTGTTTGGTTAGATAATTTCAACTTCTGGAATATTCCTTTGGAGAATGTGTGTAAATTGACACGGAACATCAAAGTTTCTCGCGTGAGATTTGACCCAGTAATAGGTTCTGATCGCATTCCCTATCATCGGCGCCGGGATGGTTTGTCACTCGCTGACGGACCTTAACGGTACGCCGAGCCTGTGGATGTCCTCACCTCGTCACATCAGCCCATTCTCGTCCAACTCCACAGTGGTCATCAAAGGATCACTCGATCCAAAGCACTGGATAGAGGTTACGTCAAGTGGCCTATCATCGACGACGAAATTGCGTTTCTGTGTAAACAACTTGAACACCGTACGCCCTAACATCGCGGCCTGTGACAACAAACCTCTGATCCCATCTGCACATAGATTTCGCTGGGCTTGTAGAGGTCACATCATACATTATTGTGGTCGAGGCTCACACCAACTGGCCAGAGGTCATTACAACAACCACTATACAACATCTGCTCCAGATATTCAGTCGTTTCGGTATGCCAGTGAGATTAGTATCAAATATTGTGCTAGTTTACCTCGGGGGAATGCGCACGCTTTTGTCCCCTCAATGGGATCAAGTTCGTGCGATCGCCACCCTACCACCCGCAGTCGAGCGCATTGTCGATGCGTTTAAACGGTCGCTGATCAGAGCTCTGGGAGACGGACCAACACACGATAGCATACAGACAGTTCTCATGGTGTATCGCATCACCCCACATCCGGCGTGTAACGGACAGTCACCATCACAGATGCTGCTAGACCGAAAATCCGATCTGTTTGGGGACCTATCGAGCCTCAGCGAAAACAGGTGACACAGAGGGCAAGTACAGGGCCGTGAGGGATATCATAGCTGGTGACATGGTGTGGGTCAGAGGTTATCGGCTGAACTAAAACGAGCGGGCTCCGGGTGCAGTTACCAGTCAGATTGGCAGAGTCACCTACCTAATTGAAGTGGAAGGTGAATCACGGCACCGTAATAAGAATCAGCTGCGACTCCGCGCCAGCAACAATCAACGCCTGATGGACCTTAACCCCTAGCTAGATTTCCAGCTAATGCTTCAGAAATTTTCGCTACCGAAATCAACAGATGGAGATTCGAAACTAGTCGTGTATGCAGGCGAAGAGGTCATTTCAGATTTGGATAAGCTCCGCAGATTGCGAGCACGGGATCGCCAACCACAGAATCGATTCATTTGGACCCAAAGACCGGAGACCCCAGGAAGACGTGCCAAGAGAAGAGCGTGGTAGCGTATACAGAAGTCTAACTCACCTGATGCATGCACCTCTGGAACTCAATCAGAGATCACATGCAATCGGACATTAGCACAGGTAAACCGATCACCGATGAGTCATGGCCATTTAACCATTTAACCTAACAATGATTGTACCCTAACTAGCTTTGCCTTACCTTGCGATCCCGCTGTATCAATATTACCGGTCTTATGCACGATCAAGTATTCTATTCTAATACCGAGAGTACCCAAGGTTATAGCATTAAGCAATGACATCGTACATGTGTAACCACCCCTCCACGCGAGGCACTGTGTTTGAGATTACAAATGAAACATGATCCGTCCAAAAACTCTGAAGAAAGACAGGAACCCGGAGTGCATAAAGCACACTCTTGATATGACGTGAAATCGGAACCTCGTTCTTCATGCTGAGACCATCCTAAACAGACCTATGTGCCGTGCATTCAGTCACAATCTATTCGCTCGGATTATTAACTTGAGCCAGGTAAGCTGTGCTAATTAAGTAACTTATCTAAGGCCGAATGTTGTTTACCAAGGCTTGACCATAGTCCTCTGTTATTCTGCTCTTTGGTTGTTCTGATATTGTAGCGAGAACGATACAGAGAGGGACAGAGAGCCTATTGTTACAACAATGTGCAACTGACCATTTACAAACTCGTACAGACACGAACCGTGTTTCTTTCCCATGACGCAACGCGATGCGGAATTGTGAGACGGGCCACTCCAGGTGCCTACGAGCTTGAGCTTTGGAACAATCCCTCCACGTTTTCATCCTGTATCTCCGCTTCGCTATATTCGATTTTGACCAGCCACTTGTCATTCGAAAGCTCGCGGTCTGCTCGTTCGTGGCTGCATTACTCGGCCTGCATTCAATCCTGTGGGCTTCGTTACGGTGTATCTGTCTGATTCACTGCGTTCTCGACAATTACCTCCTCCATTGTTCTGGGCCCAGGCTCATTACCAGATGCCGCGCGTGATCCGCAACGCTCGCAGAGCCTTGTGTCACCTCATCCATTGCGCCCGTTGGTAATTCTCTTCTATCCTGTTTTCCTTGTCTTTCCGTTTCATGAATACTCGTTGATTTTCGCCGCCCTACCTTATGACCCAACACGTATGCTGCCATTTGCTGAAACTTAGCCACAACACGCAGCTCAGGGGTAACTGCTTAAAGTTGAAGGAACAATACAGCCGTCTAGAGTGTCGACGGAATTACTTTTCCCTTCGGGTTTGCAAACCTTGGAATGCACTCCCAGGCTCAGTTGTATCCTCTCCTACCTTGGATGTTTACAAAAAACGAACAGATGTTGATCTTAGCTCCCAAAATTTTGTTATCTAAGCTCCCCTACTGTGGATTACGCCAAGGATGCATTTCAACAGGATTAATGTATCAAATGGACCTAAGTGAGCGACCGTATTTTACTTTTCTCACTACTTACCTCAATGATCATTGCACCCCAGTGTCTTTCTGAACGTTTACGCTTGATACTTTATTTTAATTTTATACTGATGTTAATTATCAAAGTATTCATCTCGGCAGACGTTCGATAGATGACCCAGACATATTTTGATTTCATCATATTCACCTCAACCATCATACGGGAGTGTCAAGCACGTGCTTTTATCCCGTTATAAATCACTGTTCATTGTTCATTGTCTCCGTACCAGGAACTGAGCTCTCTTGGCAGCTAACGCAGATACTCATCACTTAATTTGTCCCTTCGAAACCCAACTGAATTGAGTTCACCTATGTCCCTACTTCCCCGATTAATCGGAAAACCTAATGTTTCTGTTCCGGGGTCTCATGCCTGCTGCAACTGAACATGCTACTCAGTTGATCAGCATCGACTCTAAATCGCACGGTGTTCGCACGCAGTCATCGTTCTTCGACGCCCGCCTCCGAGATTCAATTGAACACAACTCATTGGGCTTAGTCGCACTTGTCCCTGAGAATGCGCACACCTCAAAATACTCAAAATTTCCTCATCATTCCTGCGTCTTTTGGCATTCACGGATGGCAGTACGTGGGCGGCACCATAGCCACATTCCTTTCGGTCTTTCATTCGCAACTTAAATGATTTACGGCTGGCAAAAGCAGCAGGTCTTACTGCGGCCTCGCTTGTTATTAGTTTTCAGCAACCATCTAGCGAGAGCTACCGCCGCAAAATTTTACTTTTCGCGGACGACGTTAAAAGTTGGCGGACAATAAAGGAAATGGACGGCCACCAGATTAGAATCAACGGAGGCAGAGTTTGAGTAAAGAATTCTTTTCGGCAATTCTCATCAGACTCAAACATTACATGATGAGGAAAATGCCTCCCTTGATTCATTCTAATAAATGGGAATTTTTGGTTTGCTGAGGATCAGCATTCCCCGTGATTCGGCCACCAGATTCTCCAACATGACCTCGATGAGGTCTGGCATTGGTCGCTGAAGAATGCACTGCCATTCAATGTGGACAAGTGCCGTGTTGTTCACATTCGAGTTCAACATGCCTACGATCTGAAGACAAGCTCTAAGGAACGTGACATCGGTGCGCCGGTACAGGACAACCTCCGTTGTTTCACACAGTCAGTCCACATCAAAAAGATGTAACCATCATTTTGGTCTCTTGCCGTGAGTATTCGGGAATCTGGCTTCATCCTTCTTCTCTGGTATCCATATTCAAGTTCACAAATGTGTATGTATGCCTTATCGAATAGAGACTTGAACTGTGAAATGGCATCACATGTTCGGGCAAACTGTTCCAAATCTTTACCACTCTCCGTTCGAAGCACAGTGGGTGGGAACACATTTCACATCCGGCACGACAAGTTTGTACCTGTGTCCGCGTGTGCTGCATGGCCCTCGTAAGTGCAGCATTGACCTTAGCATGGGAACTCACCGAGATGTAGAATACGGTAGGTCATAATGAGGTCGACCCGCACCCGACGGTAGACAAGGTGTAGAGTCCTAGTTTCTCGCACCGATCTTCATACCCAAAGCCACGTAAACTCGGGATGAGCCTGGTAGCAACGTGTTGGACCCGTTCGATCTTTTGTGCCTCGCCTCTGGTAATCGGAAAGTAGGCGGGCGAACCGTACTCTAGCATTGGTCTAATGATAGAAGAGAACAGGCGAGTGGTAACCTCTTCAGACCATGTGCAGAAGCTACGTTTGAGCGCCCAAAGCATGCGCAGTCCGTTCCGATATAGCCTGTTCGTGTTGTCCACGACTTCGTGAGGTACACCTAGATCCTTCACGGAGGGTGCGTCAAGGGTGTAGGTTCGGCCGTCTGCACCCTTCCCCAGGCTCATAAATACCGACTTGGCTGGGTTGACCGGGAGAAGAACTTCTGCAGACCATGTGGATAAGCGGTTGAGATCTTGCTGAAGTAGGCCACAGTCATCTGGAGCGTCGATTTCTCTCCAAATCTTCATGTCGTCCGCAAACAAGGCACACGGCGACCGGAGAAGCTGCGGTAGATCCTTGATGTGGATCAGGAACAGAGTGGGCTCCAGCACAGTGCCTTGAGGCACGCCACTTGTAGAGGGGTACCAGTCAGTTAGATGGTCGTCGACCTGTACTCTCCACTTTCGTCCAACAAGAAAGTCGCGGATCCACCGGTGCAATGACCACGCCTAAGTGCGCCTCCACATCGAATCCGCAACCCAGCCTTTGCATCCTTGGCTAAACCGTGACCTTACAACGTACAAAACTCCCCAACGCCAAACAACGAAATTTGTCAATGGTTTGTGTTATTTTCCGTACTAAAAGCGACTGAGGACACTCGGAAGGTTCAGTGGACAGTACTGGTGGCTACGTGGAGACCTCATATTAGTTTACCAGATACTGAGCGATCCCGCTCACGTATGCCGCCACCTTTGATACTCAACCCGAACACCAACCTTAGACAATAGTCTTAAACTGCGTCAAAAATACAATCGTCTAGATTGTCGAGGAAACTACTTTTCTCTCCGGATCTGCCAACTTTGAATTCCCTTCCAAACTCACTTGTCTCTGCCCCCATATTAGCTGTTTTCAAAAAATATTGGATATCGAACTGAACACGTTAGACTTTGCGACTTAAACGGATATTCTGGCTTTTTTCTGGCTAACTAGCCACATTAGAATTTTGACCCACAGTGATGCAGTTAAATTTGTACAGAGTGGTGAGCAATTTGCTTTTACTTGCTTGCTTTTATTTGGTTTTGCCTATTCTAAATTACTCTACCAAGTTGCAAATTTCGCACCTGATCGTCACTCCTCGGAAGCTCAGTTGGTAGAGCAGCGGACCGGTAATCCGTATGTCCGAGGTTCGATTCCCGTCGAGGCAGATTATTGTGCAAAGTTTAATCGTGGCATCCACTTTCTACAAAAAATTACACTACTCACAAAAACCATCCATAATCACCATCACCCTTTGAACATCTGGAGGACAGATAGTTCGTTTCATTGGGAAGTGAATAAGTGCGCCAATCTGTAACACCAGGACAGATACTGTGAGCTTATTGACAATACGTCGCGAACCAATCAGAAGTCATATATTAAACTGCGCACCTGATCGTCAGTCCTCGGTAGCTCAGTTGGAAGAGCAGCGTACCGGTAATCCGGATGTCCGGGGTTCGATTCCCCTTCGAGGCGGAGTATTGTGCAAAGTTTAATCGTGACTTCTACTTTCTACAATTACAATGCATTTCATCCACTTAGGTAATATTTGAATTTCCATTGCTTCTATTACCATCATACAAGTTAAGCCAGGGCTTCTTCCTCCCTTATAAACCATTGTTCCGTTATCTGTATGGTATCATTCTTCCCTCAGTTCGGTTGATGTCTAAGAGGATAAGCGGATGGCGATGCATGAACAGATAATGAGCTTGTTTCATAGTTGTAGCCGTTTCGAACCACAAAATAGGCGAATTACGAAATCGATACTGTAAGAGTTTAAACTCACTTGCACCCACCGACATGGTCCGTTGCAATGATTCGAACCTGGTCCGTGACAGGCATGTGGTATCGGGCGACACATTGGGGAGCATTTGCCACATTCACGTGATGACGTCACAGACTCATCGAAATTACTTCCTGGCCTCGTTTGTCCTTCATTTAGGCTAGATAAAAATGTGTTTGAGTTCTCTGCCGGGATTCTTTCGTCCATGGAGGAACCGTCTTCCTGGCCTATGGGTGTGAAATACCCACTAATAGTGTCACATGAGCGAACACAAAGACGAGAACCGTTCCGCTGTGAAATCATCCAGGAACGACATGACCCACAGAGCCAAGGTCCTGGACCCCAACAGCCGTCTTCTTCGGTACATTCTTCAGCGCACCGTGCGTTTTTGCCACCTAAATCCAAGACGGAAACATACAATCAAAAACACTGTTCTGCCTGCTATCTGCTTTGTGTCATACCATTTAGTATACAGACAATATGATTCGGATTAGCTCGTTTACTTGCTTGGTCGGGATTACCTATTCCATTGAAGTGCATTCAATAACCTGGGGTCTACGTGCCTCCAACCTTGCTTCGACAAGTTCTGGGGGAGTTACCCTTTCCATGCAGCAGATTCATAGGAGTCAATCCTGCAAGCAATTAGCCACACAGCAGCAGAAGTACTCATACTGTGCACCTTCAAGCTACTGTTATCATGGTCCAACTTAGGGAGAGTCATTAATTGCCCCAGTCTTCAGGAAAGTTTACGTACTTCATACGGCAATCACAGAGGGATTAGTATGACATCAGTTGCCTGCAGTATACTAGCATCCAACATGCTCCGCAGGCTATCCCCAACGCATGAAACACACTACCGGGAAGTGAAGGCTAGTTTTCGCCTCGGCCAGGGATGTGTGGATCTAATGCTCACATTTATTCAACCCTAGAAAGTGGTCGCCTCTACCATAAACCAACCATCTTCGTATTCCCGGACACTCGGGATGAATTCGACACAATAGACCGAACTGTTTCATGGTGATGTATGCTAAAGACTGAAACTCCCGAAAAGTATATCGATACACTTCGGACACTAGAACTTTGTGCTTCAGACAGAGTAAGAGTCTACGGCAAACCTCCTACACTTTTCCTGTCACCATAGGTGTGCGAAAAGATGCCTTATGTCTCCGTTGCTATTCAACTTTGCGATCAAAGACATCTTCTCAGAAGCTATAGATGGACTTCAGAGTTTCGGCATCAAACTCCTCGCAGGTGATCACCAGGCTTCAGTGAGACAATCAGAGATAGTACAGGTGCACTGACACATAATAAGGAGCCCCGTATGGCTCGCTGAACAAAACAATTTCAAGATCAATTCAGTTGGCCCCCAGGTTCCGGACCACTTCCTATCCAGCTGACGCAGAATGAGCCATGGTCGGTTAGTTTATAGGCTCCATCAAAAACTGTGATTCGAAACGCGATCACGGTTCTCAATCATTTTCATGCCGCTGGTCGGATTCCCTCCCACCTGCTCTATTTAAGAATGGAGGTGTGGTCCTCTGCAAAGCACCGACCTCCCCATTCGAAGATATTTGGAAGGAAGAGTACTTCCCGGCTGGCTGGAGAGAATCGATTATTGTAGCGATAGACAAGAAGGGCAGTCGCACCAACTGTTCTAACCACAGGGTTAGTCTAACGCCAGTTGTAACAAAATCACTGGCCTCGATTCGCGTTCGTCGCCTCATGGTGGGATGGGAATCACAGCTTAGGGGGTAGCAGGCAGTTTTCCGCCCAAGAAGTAGCTGTATGGACCACATGTTCACTCTGCGACAGATGCTCGAGCAGTGACACCCATACGGCAGACCGACTATTGCTGTGTTTCTCGACTTCAGGAACGTGTACGTTTCCGTAGATGGTTGTATTCTGTTCGACCTACTTGCGCGGAAAGGTGTTCCCACGAAATATGTGAACATCTTACGTGCTCTATACTCGAATAATACAGCACGCTTCTGGGTCGTGACCTGACAACAATTGGCGTTCGTCAGAGTTGTCCGATTTAACCGTTTTTGTTCAATTTCCTTGTGGACTCCATCACTGAGTGCTCCCTTGCCGAGTCTCACAATGTAGGCGTTGTGGTGTTGCCTGGAGAAAGGTTAGTTGATCTTCTTCGACGACGTTGCGACCGCATAATAAATCTAGTGTGGCTTTTCTAGAACGGTCCGCTTATTTTGTATGCGCTTCGAACCTTCGAAGTGAAAAGTGTTGTTACAGGACCACCAGCCACTTGATGACCCCTTGAGCCTTTGTCAGCAGTAACTCGAGGTGGTTGATCGATTCACTTACCTTGGCAGCTGCATCAGCATCGGTGGGCGCAAAGAAACGAGACAATTCACGCATTGTAAAAGCCAGGACTGTCTTCTTGAATCTGCGACATCTTTGACGACAGAAGGGAATGCCGTGTTTACAAAACTGCAGTGAGGAGCGTCCTACTCTATTAGAGTGAGACTTGGCCCCTGTGGTCTGAGTATCTGAGGCCAATTCAAGTCTTTGATCAATGTTCTTTGTAGAGCATTGCTGATGTCGGATAGCAGCAGCGTGTCCGCAACGATGATGGACGTGGGCGAGTACTAGGCAGTGATAACCATGCTAACCCCCTAGAATAACAGATAGCACTGAATAAGCTGCGTTGGCTTGGGCACGTACTACGTGTAATGGAACTGAACGACTCGGAATACGATGGGTGTTAAGAGTTTGAGCCCCAGAGCAGAGGCTTTACTCAGCAAGCAACTGAGTTATGTACGCTGAAAGGAAATACAGAAAGATTAGTATAAACGAGCAGTGAGAATTTTACATGGCATACTCCCCTATTCGATTGTTAACTGTGAGATAAGTGGGACACTGTTTCTTAGGCCTCGCGGTTACGCGGATTGCATGCTGGCGTTCTTTGCTTTGGCTCAGAATGATTTGAAGAATTAGATGAACCAAAGGAATCCGTTTGAAGCACCTGAGTCTCCGTTGTGTGTGTGTGTGTGTGTGTGTGTGTGTTTGACTGAGTCGTTTAGTATGTCTAAGCAGGCTGAGTAGAAGGGCCACTAGACACATGCAATCCTGGTGGTGTCAGATTGCAGTAATAGTATCTTCACTTTCATCTGAGAATCGAATGTGGGAGTACTGCGGATTGCAATCCAATAGCTCAACGTGATCGACCAAAGGATCGTATTTTAAGGCTGTTACACTACAACACGATAACACGGGTCCTGGCTCACTGAACCGACTCGACAGCGAGACACCTGATGTTGGTTTGCGGTAGTATGTTAAGAGCCTCTCATGGGGTGTGGCATTTTCAGCGGTGCAGAGAAGGGAACGAATAGAATGCAAGGCGTTCAGCGGCACACTTTTTCACTGAGCAATTTCGAGACATTTGGACCTAAACGAAAGGATACTAGATTTTCAGTTGACCCGATTGATGCGTTCCAACTGCCCATTACACTGAGAATTGTACGGTGTTGCTAGGCTGACCGCGATACCTTGCTGGGTAAGGGAATGACGCACTTCGTGAGACATGGACGAAGAACCATGTTTGGGATGGATTTAGAGTGGCTTAGCGAAGAGAGCAACTAGTTAACTTAGACAGCCAATCACAGTAGATGCGGTCATATCACTACATGCAAAGACAAACTGGAAGCGAGAGTATTCGTCACCCAAGGTAAACAGATACTTCGTGTTCGTCACTGACAGCAAAGGTCTTTTAAAATCCATGTCTAATCTTGCAAATGGGAACATTAACTTGATAAGCGTTCTGGATGATTTGTAAAATCTGGGTTTCATCTCAGCACCAATGTTGCAACTTGCGCTCGTTGCCTTTGCATCCTTGACTGAGAAAGGCAGATTCCGTGAACGAAGCAGGTGAGACATTCTAGTTACTGTGGGATAGCACAGCGTATAGTGTAATTCCTGCAGTGTCATGGTGTGTGATTCTGATGAGTCACATAAGCAAGATAAAACGCCTACAGTCACATTTCACTTCCGCTGCGGTAAACTAAGGCGTAAGTATAACAAGAGAGTTCAACGCGCCAGCTCTGATGTTGTTGTATAGTTTCGTCACAGTTACACACAGGCAGACAGGCAGCACACATCCAGGAAAGCGCTAGACGGCCGTTTCGTCCAATTGGGACTCACCAGTAGCGCGCACCCGCCGAATCTTGCCGTATTCGAACCTACGACCTTACTCTTGCGAGTCAGTGACTTATGCCACTGAGCCATGGGCGACGGCAGCGGACCGCCATCATTGATATTTAACTACGATAAAGCGCGGCTCATCCTTCACTGTCTTGCAGGTTATGTATGTGCAGAGGACAGGGCTGGCCTCCAGAGCAACGACTTCCTTTGCAAGCCGCCACCAATCGAGGTGGGTGTAAGCTGCTAAGGCGACTACCGATTATTTGTATGTGGTTTTTTCATTTGTTTTACATTTTGATCTTGTCCTTCTGATTGAGGTCAAATTTGAATGAGCCAGATCGCTGATCAGTAATAATAGTGAAGCGACTGACCATTAGCTAATGCCGCAATTTACGGACTGATTCGACAACAGCATATGACTCCTTCTCGACATCAGAAAGGTGTCATTCACTGGCAGACAGCGTCTGTGAGAAGAAAGCAATCGGTCATCCGTTCTGTGTTAACGTAGCGTCAATAACAATATCAGATGTATCCGTTTCAGGGACTGAGGGTATGGAATAATTGATAGAGACGACAACAGCGTTTTCTACCTCTTTCTTGATCTTTTTGAGCGACTCCAGAACCCAATTGGGAAGAGGGAAGAAACGAACAACGCTTAACGGGCGAATTTTGTCTTGTAAATGTGAGATCCATTGGGAATACTGTGCAAAAGTCCCATAACACACTGTTGAGGCATGAAGTCAGCGGGTGTGAGCGGGCACCTTAAAGTTTGAAGTCAGTCTGGGTTTGGTCGAATGACCCCGTGTGCAAATTCGTACCACAATAGTGGTATTTTCCTCAAGCATGATGTTATTGCTTTCGTGAATGTTAGGTTGTATTTTCGATCTCATCGCGACGAGAGTGGACCTTAACGTGGTACGATCGTTTGTGTGCAGCAGTCATCCGTTGAGTTGTGTTGGGTGGTGCTTTTTTGCACCTTCAGAGCCACTCATACCAGATTAGTCAATGGTTAGAGGCCAGATTGGATCTTAACGTGGTGCGACGGTTTACTTGCCCTTTTGACCCATTGAGCTATATTGTTTATTGCCTTCGTGTCCCTTGAGAGCTACTCTTACCAGATTGGTCAATGGGGAGAGGTCAGACAAACTCAGTCTCTTGGTCCTCCAGGTTGAGGGTTTGAAATGGAATGGCGTCCATTTCTGTAAAAGTAAATCATTGCCACCTCCCCGCTGCCTTG